TATAAGTATAGCTAATAAGATGAATTCTTTAGTCATTTAATTTTTTTTTTTGGTCATCCATTTTCCATTGAAAATAGCCCCACGTGCCAAGTCTGACACGCGTCCCTTAGGTTGCCGACCCCTGCACTAAAGACTATCAGCTTGTCTCCAGGGGGGGGGGGGGGGGCATCGTTGGGATAGGACCCTATTCAAAAAAAAAAAAATGGCCGTTCTGCACTTGTGTGAAAGGGAAAAACTAGACTTAAAGCAATTGTCCAGTCAAGTCAAGAAATAGATAACACACTTCCTTACAAATAGAACATTAAATTTCTTATATATATTTTTTTGTAAAAAATCTTTATTTTATTGATAGGATATTAATAGTAAAAAACGTATACACAAATCTTATAAAAAAATAACTCCCACAAACATGATTTGATGTTACAAAGTCCATTTCCCAATTGAAAAGACGGATTTAAATTAACCCTCTACACGCCAGAGCACGTATAGTGAAATAAATATTTTTTTTTTTTTAAAATGAGGCTCTCTGTCTGTGTTACACAAAAATAGGTTAGAATGAAAGTAGAAATATGACTAGGTTATTAAACCAGCGATTGGCTACTACTTTAAAGTAACAGGTGCACTGCACTAATGTAACAGGCTTATTACACTACAACTCAATAAAATAACACAACAAAAAACATCTGTTGTAACACAAGAAAATACTTGTTGAGACACGCCGTTAGACAAGCCCACAGAATTAACCCCTGCCGCACCAAGTAGGCGCAAACACTGCAGGGCCGATTTAAATCTGTTTTTACTGGGGGGTTTTTTAAATAACAATTTTCATAATACTTTTGAGTGTGAAGAGACATTAAAACTTCAGTTCGGGGTTACCGATGTCCTAGATCAGCGGTTCTCAACCTGTGGGTCGCGACCCCTCGGGGGGGGGGGGGGGGAGGGGGGGGGGGGGGGGGAAGGGGGGTTCGAACGACCCTTTCACAGGGGTCGCCTAAGACCATCGGAAAACGCAAAGACGCTCTAAAGTTTATGAAGTAGCAACGAAAATAATTTTGTGGTTGTGGGGGTCGCCACAACGTGAGGAACTGTATTAAAGGGGTCGCGGCATTGGGAAGGCTGAGAACCACTGTCCTAGGTGATTTAAAATTTGAGGAGCTGTGCCCACAGTGCCAAAGTATGGTGAAGATGACCAAAGAAAATAACCGTTGGCTGTTTAGAACAATCTAACAATCTAAAGATTGGGGTGTGTGGGGTGTGTGTGGGGGGGGGGGTACTTACATAAAGCCATGCAATAATCAGAGAAAACGAACTAAAGAACTAGTCTCTTCTGTTCATTGGTAGGCAACGATAAAGCATAAGGTTACAAGAACTCTTTTTTTTTTTCTTTGGAAAAACAAAACAGATAAATAATACATATCGTTCCATTACACATGGATCAGCTTTCTAGCGTTGTTATGATTATACAATGACAAAATAAACACGCACACACAATAAAACACATGTTATGATTGAATAATGACAAAATACACACTCACAACAAAAAATTTGTTTAAAAACCTAACACTAACACGCATACATTCCCCCTCCCCTCCCTAAATTAATTTAAAGCAGCAAAATCTCAGGCAAAAATTTTAATAAATAATGAAAATGGTAAATAAATAAAAGCCGTAGAAATTAGAGATACTATTTTATCTACGCGACAGCTGTAGCAACACTACTTCATTTATACAACAGCTATAGCAATACTAAATTATTTATGAGACAGCCGTAGCATTGCTTCTGTATTTATATTCCATAAGTGCCAAGATACCAGACACTCTTCAGACACTGGTCAGTAGACTGGTAAGCCTTTTTATGACACCAATTTTTAAAACTGAAACTCCTTGCAGATGTTCTTATCCTTAACAAGAAATTTGTAAAAAGTTGTTAATTAATTTTTTCCATTTCCCCATTTATTCCTCTCTAGCTAAACCGTGTCAACAACGAGACAATGCCGAGACTAAATCGCTGACTATGAAATTAAACCTGTACCTGATCATAATAAATATTTTAAATACTGACTTAAGAACACAGTTATCACTCATGGATGTAAGAAATTACTTAAATGAAACAGAAGCCAACTGAGTTAGCTAGCTGTTAGATGTACTGGCTCTGGTTAATAAGAAATAAAGCACACGGGGTTTGGGGGGAAGACCTGAGGAAAGACCAAACAAAACATCAGAGGTTTAACCTGGAAGCCTTCAAAAGCAACAAAAAAAAAAGACAAACGAGAATAAAAAAAGTTTTCCTGCAAGACCCTTCCATTTTCTAGTAAGATCCTTCCCTCTAGTGTCCTGTAAGACCCCTCTGTTATCCTGTAAGACCCTTCCATTTTCTAGTAAGATCCTTCCCTCTAGTGTCCCGTAAAACCCCTCTGCTTTCCTGTAAAACCCTTCCATTTTCTAGTAAGATCCTTCCCTCTAGTGTCCTGTAAGACCCCTAACTCTGAAGACCTAACTCTAGTGTCCTGAAAGAACCCTCTAGTGTCCCGTAAGAACCCTCTATTTCCCTGTCAGACCCCTCCCTATAATGACCTGTCAGACCCCTCCCTATAATGACCTATAATGACCTTTAAGACCCCTACCTCTAGTGCCCTGTAAGAACCCTTCTAAGCCAAGGTGTGGTTTTATTCTCTGTTATTTTATAATTCTCTGCTGTATTTTTGTTTTTGCTGTCCAAGGCTTCCAACGGAAACTTCCCCTGTTTTGTTTCGTCATCCTTCAGGTTTCCCGCTACCCCGTGTGCAATATGTCCTGAACGTTGACCTCCCCATTTTACACTGGTTATATTAAAAAAAATCCAAAAAAAAATGGAAGTTGAATTAGAAAATCTGACAAAGCACTGGTCACGTTAGGTCAAAAAGAGGAAAACATTTATGAAACAAAAATTCAGGTATCAGCATCATATAACAACAACAACAAAAAATTCAGGAGAAGTTAGCTAAACGGTGCAGTGCTCTGCACAACCTGAACTGGCCCCAAATGAGACGATGCATACCTGCAACAATGCATACCTGCAACAATGCATACCTGCAACAATGCATACCTGCAACAATGCATACCTGCAACAATGCATACCTGCATTGGTAGAAAGAACGGCATCAATACGAAAAAGAAAAAAAAGCTTGAAATTGAAAATGGTTAAATCTAATGGTGTTAGAAGACTAGAGTAAATCTGGGATAATTAATCCTTATCACAGGAGACTTACATTCACTGGTGCGTTACAGTTACAGGTGTGTTAAAGTTGTTTACAGGTGTGTTACAGAGTAGTTTAATTAAAGCATTCCGTGAACAGTTTCCAGGGGATCAAACAAACATATGATACCGTCACAATGGTGTCAGTTTATACAATAAATATGCCCATGCTGACAATAATTTGTCAAAATGGTACCTAGACACGCAGCGCCGCCATTCGCACCCGGGTACCATTAGACTCAATGCTATTCGGATGTCATTTATGGTAGTTTATTTAATTAAATTGAGGAAGTAGTTTTACAAACATATAGCCCTTTCAATTATCTTTCATTTGATACCTCATTTTGTCTTACAAAACCCAACAATAATATTTTAAACAGTTTTTTAATCCCAACCTCTCACTTCTGGTACCCGGGTGTGAGTAGTCACAGCCATAATTTAATTCATTGAAGTCCATGACATGCCAGGGTTTGGTGAACAAAATAGGGCGATGACTGAGAATGAGACTTGCCATCAGATGTAAAGAAATAATTGCCTATTAACTGAAATAAGTTAATTCACTGTTCAAAATTAAAGCTGTGATAGGCCAGGGATTAATCTATATTATAAACCTCATTTAACTGAAGTCACTTTTTAAAAAAAATGATCAAGTAATAAACAACGTGGTGATGGTAACAGTAATTTTCTTTTAAAACAATGATGGACAATTTTACATAGGATAAGAGGGATGTGGGATAATAAATGGCGGAGGGGGGAAGTAAGAAATACTGTGGCGTCCATTGCAAACTGGTTTAAACACTAATGAAAGCTACAAATTTAAATAATAAATATGTCTGGATCAAAACTAGTGATTGACGTCAGTGCTTCTCAAACTTTTTAGGTGTGATACACGGGGAGGAGTTATCTGCATTCCAGCAGTGACCATAGTCTGGTCTATTGAATTTTTGTATAACTTTTTTTTTTTTACTCTTCTTAAATTTTTTACCCTTAGCTATAAAATACTTGGTCAGGGGACATGCAGCTTGAGAAGCATTGATATGGAAATAATTTTAATTAACAGCATCAGATGAAAATCAGTGATTTAGATGTCTGAACATGAGACAATGATTTCATAGCAGGCACAAGATTCAGGCATGATGACAGAAAAAAAATAAATTCAAGAAATCAGATGTGTATAAATGACTAGCAAATGTGTAACTATGGCGGCGAAAGGAGGAAGTAAAAAAAGTGAAAGCAAAAATTTTAACATTCAATCAATGAAATAAATAAATAATTAAAAATCAATTGATTACATTGAATAAATTAAATACAGTAAAAATCTTAAAGCAACTTCCACAAAACTATACCGGTTCGTTTAAAAAAAAAAAGAAAGAAATTATGTTGGTTTTATTAAAAAATAAAGCGTCATAAAGATAATACTTTGTATCCTCTCCAACATCCTGAATGAGTTGTATCACATTCAAAATGTCACATCATGGTGATTACATAAAGATCATATTTATTTTTAATAAATAACATAAAGGTGATTGGCGCACAAGATTAAACACTAGGTGATAAATGAAATCAAGGAACTGACAGTTTTAATTTTAAGAAAAGAAAGAAAAAAAAAGAATGGCTTACACTTATTTCAGTACCAAAAAGAATTATTTTTTTTTAAATGTGCACAAGCATTTGTTAAAAGTTAATGAACATCTCCATATCTGATTAAAAGTATTGAGTAATGCTTCAAGATATCTTTATTTACACCCCCCCCCCCCCCCCCCCCCGACTTGAACTAAGGGGAAGTAAATCAGACACATTGGAACTATTTTGATATAGATAGAGTAGTCACAGTTGTCTGCATTATTTTAAAATTTAAAAAAAAATTGAAAAATTCTGGAGTAAATGGATCCCAAAACAGTGTGTTATCAATCTGTGCTACATTCCTTGTGTATGATACAATCTGTGTTACATTCCTTGTGTATGATACAATCTGAAATCCTTCTGTAGTATCCTTGTGTATGATATTATGTGTTATGTCAATGAATCTTAAATCAATTTTTAACATGACAGACGTAGTAGTGCGCCAACTATTGTAGTGCGCAATAAAACTGTAGTTTTTATAAACATGATTGACAAAAAAGATGAAATTTCAAGAACAATTTAAACCAACCAATTAGCAACATGGAGTCATAGAAAGGGAATCAGTCAGTCACAAACCATCATCACCATCTCAACACTGGAGCAGTATTGTATTTATGGAATGACCACGTAACAACAGTCAGGGATTTAAAAAGGATTGAACTGAGTGGGTTTTAAAATAGTTTCACTGTTTTAAATTAAGCATCTGACTTTAATTTTGTAGCTTGGTAAACTATTTGTGTCCTGTTGCTGAGAACCTAGTGGAAATTAAACTAGCATTTCCTGAGCCTAAACAGGCATGAACATATTTTTCTTCCTTGAACAATTTAGTGCGGTTCAAAGTTATACGAAAAAACAATCTTTCAAAAGGAACGGTTGAGGCGACAACACTAGACACATTTGTGTCTATTGCCTCAAGCCTTCAAACCCCTAGTGCATGATTTCCTCATCAACACCAGTAACAGAAACATTGCAGATCCCATCTACATGCATAGGAGCCAAAATGATCAATAAATTGATCGTGGGCCCTTAAGATATAGAAGAAGAAGAAATGATTTTTAATAAACAAAATGAAGTCTTAGGGGAATGGGGAATGCTTAACTGGACCACCGGAACATCCATTTATTTGCGCCAGGACCAGGTAGCGGAGCAAAGTTTCATTTTGAGACAAAGTTAAGTTACAGGAGAAGTTGTTTACCGGAAGACAAAAATTGTAAAAAAAAAAAACAACAAATTTTAAAAATTTGGTTTAAAAAATGAACTTGTTAAAACATGTCTTCACATTTTAAGGACATTTAATTTTCACAAGCTATGTCTGCTACTGGCTGAAATATTTGATAAGGCGGAAAGCAACTGATGATTGTTTTCTGGCTTTGATTGATCCCGATGGCCCGGAATCTGTTGTCTGTTTGCTAAAGGTTCCGATCCCAATAATTAATAATCCACAGTTATTGGGATAAAAAACAACAACTCTGATCTCAAATAAGAAAAATAATTTTTCTCTCCCCCGTTTACAATAAAAAATTTCAGCTCCTGAAAATGGAAGACTTTCAGTTTTAAAACATGAAATTTAGTACAGTTAAACATAAAACAGGGGCTTTACAGGATTTGCAATAATATTTTTGGGGAAAAAAAATTGTCTATCTAAAAAAAACTGAGTTAACAACATGTGATCCCAAAGTAGAAATATAGATTAGATTTGCCCCCTTCACAACCAAGAAACTATCTGAACTAAACAAAAAATTTACTCTATAAACACTAGGGGCAAGGCACTGAAAGCAATTCCAGAGTAGCAAAAAGAAAATCTCATTTTGTGGGTTTCAGAAAAAAAAAATATATATAAAATTCATTTAAAAAATCCGGATGTATAAATTTAGTGACTAAAAGCAAAGAGGCAATAACGAACGTTTGTTTTTGAACAGCTAAAATGTGGTTTTCCTTTGGAAAAAAACAATTTCGATACTCTGTAAAATTTTGTTTGTCCATGTTTTTAAAATGTAGACCTGCTAATGGCAGAGCATGGTTAAGACAATGTACCTGCTCTTCTTCGTACAACTAAAACTGATATCTATCCAAGTACTCTTTTTAGTACTTCTTTTTAACAACATTTTTTAAATTTATCTTAATTTTCAATTATCATAATAAATAGCAACTATAGCCAAATTTCACTACAGCAATAGATAATTAAAACCAAATGTGGTAAAAGTAACTAAAAAAATTACTCCCCCATGTTGCTGCCTGTAAATCCATCTTTTGTTGTGGTAAACTTATCTCTGTGGTCACCTATTGACTTATCCTTTCTAATAAACATAACCTTGACCTTGTAAAGGAGGATCCCTTTTGTTGCATTTGCCCATGTGTTGCGTACAGCGTATCTTGTAGAGTCAGTCCACCTTTCAACTGTTCGGTCAGCTGTCAGCCACCTTGTTCCTCTTGATGAGATCGGCTGCTCTCTCTGCTATCATGATGGTAGGAATGTTGGTGGCACCAGATATGATTGATGGGATCACAGAGGAGTCCACAACACGCAGGGCTTTCAAGCCTTTTACTCTGAGACATACCAGGGAATTTTTTAGTGATTATGAAATGTTTACCCAATATGAAATGTTCAGTCATTAAGAAATGTTCAGTCATTAATAAATGTTCAGTCATTAAAAAAATGTTCAGTCATTATGAAATGTTCAGTCATTATGAAATGTTTAGTTATTATGAAATGTTCAGTCATTATGAAATGTTCAGTCATTATGAAATGTTCAGTCATTATGAAATGTTCAGTCATTAAGAAATGTTCAGTCATTATGAAATGTTCAGTCATTATGAAATGTTCAGTCATTATGAAGTTTTCAGTCATTATGAAATGTTCAGTCATTATGAAATGTTCAGTCATTATGAAATGTTCAGTCATACATGTTCAATCATAAGAAACTCATCATCCAACCTTCTTGTGAACCTTCCTAAATCAATAAAACAACAAATTCTGACGAGATATTTTAACCCCAACTGGCATTTAGACCCTGGTTTTTATATAACAAACTCATTGACAGGTACAAAATGGCCCACAAATATTTCCGGTATGAGGGTAATACATTTAAGTCTAATGTTACCTCAACTCTGGATCAACGACAGTGTCAGCTTGTTTGACATCTCCCATCCTGCATGTCCCAACCGGACTAAACACCGGCTGAGCCCTGCCCCTGATCATGCACCGCCAGTAGTCGTCACTGCCTGAGAGAAAACCGCTGCAGGCTGTGGTGGGACCCTCTGCATAAACGGCCTCGATCTGCTTCATTGACGGCATATCCAGGAGTTTCTTACATAACTTGACGCCTTTAGTAAGGATTAAAAAAGATAGTCGGGAGAAAATCATTTGGGGGGGGGGGGGGGGGGGGGGGTTAAAAAAAGGGAAAGATTAAATACATCAGGGAAAGGCCAAATTAATCTATAGACATAAAGATAACACAATTATTATAAGATTTCAAAATTTTAATTCCTTCTCTAATCCTTTTGGTCCCACAATTTACCCCCCCCCTCCCCCCCCCCATATTTTTGTAGACTTTTTAAGATCCAGAAATGGGGCTTTGGCTGGACTTTTCACTTTTAAGGTAATATTTTAATTCATATTCCGCTCATCAGTCATTAAAATAAAGCGGTTAATGTGTGACTAAGAATTAAGCAATAAACAAAGCGTACGCTACTCAACTCGATCACAGATAACAGTCTTAGTTTATAACTTTCAAAATTGAACATTAAAATAACTTGAGTGAACAAAGTTTTCATTTCTTTATCTTAACCTTCCATTAAATGAACCATGTAAAGGGTAGTTCGCGAACAACGTAATGCAAAAAATGACCTTCTCAGACCCCCTTCCTCCCTCGCTTTCACAAAGTGTCACAAATACTTTACCCCCCCCCCCCACCCCCCCCCCCCCCCCAGGTCACACTTAAAAAAAATTCAAAACATAAAATTTTCATAACTAAATTAAGATTTTATTTTGTTCTTAAATATGTTCTCATAATGGATTAAGATGTAGTATTATTAGAAAACTGTGACGTAAAACAACCAAGTCCTCCCCGAGCCCAATGTAAAATGACCACATCAGTTTTTGAGTAATTATTCAGTCACGCAGAAGGTGTGCGCAACTGAGTTTCACGGTGCCTATAATGCCAAGAGGCAATTTCGACCTCAAATTAATGTTTTTAAATAAGTGAATAAAGTTTTTTCAAAATTAGAACATTTTAGCTTTTTAATTTTTAAAAAATTCTGTGACGTCACAAATTTTTGAACCCCATCCCCCCGAGTTCCAAGTGTCACAAATTCTCAGCCTACCCCCCTGAGGTCGACAAACTTTGATAAACATGAAGTGTCTTTTTTCGATGCACAACAAAAAAGCTTGCAAGGCACATGCTATGAAAATCTTGGACAACATTTAGGGTCAGTCTAGAAATCTATCAGGGTAAGTGTGAAGCAGACAAACCTGTGAGGATCACCTCCACGTCCTCCTCGTACGCCAGGTAATTTGGATCTATCAGCGGCTGACTTCTGGGGTCGGTGTTGAGAAGTCTTAGGGAGCCCCGACTTCTGGGCCTCAGCCCAGAACTGAAACAGGCCATGCCCTCTTTGAAAGCTCTGCGTGCTGAAATTTCAGATAGCGTCTGCACAGAGAAAAGAGAAAAAAATGTTCATATGGTTATAAGGCCTTAGCGCCCAGTTCAAATACAACATTTCCTACCATCGTTATTAGGTTCTCTACCGGAAGTCATAAAAACTGATATCCAGTAACTGGATGGCATTCATCATGAGATATGAGAATCAAAATTAAAGAAACTAAAAGGTTGCTAATAGTATTAGTTCATTGTAACTTGTCATCAGAAAATAGTTATTTTAGCATGAAGTATTTTTTTAAAAATCTATCTTCTAAATTTATAGAACAGTGGTTCTTAACCTTTTTGGAGGTACTGAACCCCACCAGTTTCATATGCGCATTCACCGAACCCTTCATAATAGTAAAATAAAATATGATTTTTTTATCTGATTTTTTTTGGACCCCCGCCGAACACCTAAGACTGACTCACTGAACCCCATGGGGTTTGATCGAACCCAGGTTAAGAACCACTGTTATAGAATGATGAGATGAATCAATTGCCTTAAAAACATGCAGCAACAAAGCCCCTAAAAATGACAGGGTTGACCATCACAGTGGACACACTGGGAATTTATATCAGGAGTTAAAGACTCACCTCATTGGACAGGCCCAACATCTTCCCTTAAGACTCACCTCATTGGACAGGCCCAAGATCTTCCCTTAAGACTCACCTCATTGGACAGGCCCAAGGTCTTCCCATAAGACTCACCTCATTGGACAGGCCCAATTTTTTCCCATAAGACTCACCTCATTGGACAGGCCCAACATATTCCCATAAGACTCTCCGTGCAGCATCCCTTTGAACTGCAGCTGCAGGTCAGGCCAGTCTTTCTCTGAGTTAGTCACACTGTTGGTGAAAGCCACAACCTCTACACCGTTGGGCGAGGCCAACATTCCTTGAGGAGGAATCAGAACAAGACAATGACATCAACTTCTGTGTGGTTAAGACTCAAACAAAATGAGAACAAAGGAACGGAGGGATTGGATGCTACAAAATGTCTTGTCAGTCTCAACACAATGGGTTGAGAACCCCTAGCCTAAAGAATGATCAAATCAATCAGTTGCCTTAACCCTTTGAACCCGTTTATGCGTTTAAAATCAATGGCCCGCCGTATTGATATTTCGACCTCCCATACTTTACCCTAGATCGACAGTCAGCATATAAAAATGTTTTGTATATAATAGTTCACAATGGGCAGCACCCATTGATGAATTGTTTTACTTAGGTTTTAGTAATTTTTTTCATTTTTTTTTGCTTGCATCTGTCCATCACAATGTGACGTTGGTGTAGACAAAGTCTACAAGGCCTGGGATTATTCTTTTTAGGATTTATAAGCTGGTTCTCTACACAGTGAATCGCCTGTTTTCACGCTGCTGGAAAACCCAAGAAAAAATCATGTCGATATTACAGCTTGGCAACAGTGGCGTCTCAGGAGTTATCAAAATGTTTCATTGCGCCAATTTTATCCCCCTACGGGACTCCCTCTCCGGGTTAACGAGTCCCATCCATACGGGGTGATGGTGATGTTTGTGCTTGACTGGGCTTTGGTGGGGATGGAACATGAGGTTGAGAATGGCTCAGTTAAGACCACTCAGTGTATGATAAAAATGCAAAAACTGCTATTCTAAAGGCATCAAACCAGAGCAGGTAGATGATAGTGCAAATGATTCAAGGATTATTATTGCGTTTTGATAAAAGTATTTTAATAACGCAAATAGACCATAATATGATGATCGTAAATTTTCTCCCAGGAGCATGGGTCTTTTAGGACCAGGAGTCAAGGGCTCAAAAAGATGAGGCTATAACATGATAAAGTTGTCCCCACATCAAATATTTTTGGTATCATACATCATCAATAGTTTATTCATCTGGTTAGATTATAGACATTTTGTGTAGCATTGTTCTTAGCATCAGGAAGAATATTCTGCCCCCCCCCCCCCCCGGGTCAGAGTCCGGGTTGTTGAATCCACAGATGGGGGAAATAAATTTGTCCCCACATCAAATATTTTTGGTATCATACATCATCAATATTTTATTCCTCTGGTTAGATTATAGACATTTTGTGTAGCATTGTTCTTAGCATCAGGAAGAATATTCTGCCCCCCCCCCCCTCGGGTCAGAGTCCAGGTTGTTGAATACACAGATGGTGGAAATAAACAGCTCGAGGGTTTCCTGCTCCACAAGGAAAGGAGAGTAGACTTACTGGTTTTCTGCTCTCATGCTCAAAACCTTAGTTTTACATTGACCCAGAGCTTTTTATGTTAAGGCTTGACGATGGTCCACGTCTGAGCTTCTTGTCCACAACATTACTACTAAAATAAATAGTAATCAAAGAAGAAATGTGCTAAAAGAAGACATGTTATACAAAGAAGAAAATCCTCACCTTTCCCAACCAGCTTGTATTTGACCTGCTCCCAGAAGGACTCAAGTTTTTCCTGCGTGATGCTGATGGCCGGCTTAATGGCGATGGGGAACTCATAGGTCATTCTGTCTTGGAGGTTGTCTCCAACTGGCAGGTCGGCAACGACAGGTATCTGGCAATGATGCAGTTCGGGGTGGAGGCAAAAAAATGAATATCAGAAAACCCCTGTGGCCTGATATCGGCAAGGAACTAAGCTTTTAAAATACTTATTTGAAGGAAAGGAAAATGAAGGAAACGAAAATGATGTTAAAATACCAATTATAAAATTTATCTGCCCCAATGCAGTAAGTAAGGGAATCGTTAACACATTATAAAATCAGCTTTTTTTTTAAAAATGTGAAAGCTCTTTACGAAATTAAAAAAAAAATTAATTAAATTAATAAAAATTCATTTATCACTCGATTGGTATAATTATGCTTATCCAACTCTGAATACAACACTTCTGTTTGAAATTAATCAAACCTTCAATTTCTCCAAATGTTCTTTGGGTCCGATTCCTGACAAGAGCAACAGCTGAGCAGAGCCAACCGTTCCAGCGCTGAGCAGAACTTCCTGTTTGGCCCTCACTGTGGTCAGTGTGCCATTCCGCTCAAACTTAACACCCACCGCTCTCTTGCCATTGAAAACAATCTGTTTCGAACATTGAAAAATCACATCAGAGGAAGAGGTACAGCCAAGAATGATTGGTAGGCATACTCAATTTTTAAATTTGTAGTAGTTTCCCCTTCCCTTAGTCCCATGTTTTTAAAACTGCAATTTCCACAAGATATATTATTGAAACAATTCTTGCCTCACATGTATCTGACACTTCCATGTTTTTATTTCTTCTCCATTTATTTGTTTTTGTTTTTCAGCTATTAATATTACTATTTTATTCCTAAAACTATTGTATAAGACGTAAGTGACACCTAAAATAATTTATTTTACAAATCTTTAAAAAGTTACTACATTATCCTGAAAAACCTCCTTTTTTCTGTCATTTTTGACACAGGTTAATAACATATTTGAGCTAACACCAAAAGTTGCATATGTTAGCGGCAAAACAACGATGATATTTATGATTAAGTATTCTCACTTGTGTGGCCAGTGAATCAGTAAGCACATCAAGATTTTTCCTATACAAGACAGGGTAGAGAAAAGCCCTGGAGGCACTTTGTCTGATGCCCTTGCGTAGAGTTGACTGCACTTCAACAAAACCTGACAGCAATAAATAGGGGGGGGCAATGTTTAAACAATCAACCTCCTCCTGGTGGCTTTTTTAAAAAAATAATTAATTACTACACTGGCGTTTGCAAAAAGTCAAATATTTTAAATTATATTAAAAAATTCTAAATAAATCTTCACACATTGTTTTTTTTTTTTTAAAAACATCCACTGTTTGTAGATGTAAATCAAATCAAGCTACGAAAAACGTAATCAAGAAAAAAATTTAATAAGTTATTCGGCTCTTTTTCACAGGAATTTATGTGGATTGTTTAAAAACTTACTGAAAATCATGGGATAAAAATTAGCTTAACAGTAAGAACACATGAAAGAACTATTCTAATGAGATCAATAAGTATCATTTGCCCTTAGTATAGTGAAAACTAAAAATATGATGATTTTTCTAATCAAACTTTGAGTGTTTAACTCACCTTCTGACCACTGGCTGTTGATGTCTATAATTTTATACCCCATTTCCTTCCCTGCTCTTACAAGAAAGTTTGTTAAGCTGTGAGTTTTTGATCTACCAACTTTCAAGGGGCCGCCCATCTTGTGGAAACCTGAGAGTTGGACACACGGAGAGTGAATAAGAATAAAAATGAATAACGGCAGACGTGTTAAATCATCATCAGTTACAGGTAAACATACATGGAAGCAATGTATTGGAAGTAATGTATATTCTTTCTCAATTTAATTATTTGTCTTCTGAGTTTTACTCTGGGTTAGGAATATTTCAGTGAATGAATTAGGAAATAGACAGAAAACAGTTAGGACTGAAAAAATATTTCATTGAATGAATAAGGAAATAGACAGAAAACAGGACTGAAAAAATATTTCATTGAATGAATAAAGTAATAGATAGACAATAATCAATAACTTTAAAACTAAAAGCCTTGAGTTTGGTATACCTAGAGCTGAAAGGAGCGTTCAAATAAAAAACATGCAGCACATACGAACTATTAGCAAGCTGACAGCCACAGAAAGAGAATAGTGACAAAACGTCCCCCACATTCCTCTGAAATACTAGTATTCATGTATACCTGTCATTTTAATTCATCAACTGAATTATTAAAACATGAGTTAATAGCTCATAATTTCGCTCTGTCGTAGGCAGAAAATTTTCTTATATTAACTTATAAGCTCAATAAAAATAAAGACTGGTCACGAGAATACAGAAACTTAATATAACTCATTGGCACTTGTTCAGTATTTAAAGAGGATATTATGGCACACAGTTTTCAAAGAGTTAATCAAATGTATATATATATATATATATATATATATATATATATATATATATATGCATATTTATGTATATTTATCTGTATATATATATATATATATATATATACATATATATATAACTCATTGGCACTTGTTCAGTATTTAAAGAGGATATTATGGCACACAGTTTTCAAAGAGTTAATCAAATGTGTATATATATATATATATATATATATATATATATATATATATATTTATGCATATTTATGCATATTTATGTGTGTATATATATATATATATATAAATACATATAAATAAAGTAAGTAAGACTCACCAGTCTTCACAAAGTCTGCATTCTCATTGTCCTCTGACTTCAAAAAATAAGGTAACACATCTTGAAAAGTCCACCCTTGGATGTTCCAACTGTCATAGTCTTTAGGAAGTCCTCTTGTGTATATCATCTCATTAACATTGGAAGTGCCCCCAAGGATTTTCCCTCTGTGCCACCAACCGGTCTGTGTATATAAAAAGCAAACTGCCAATGAAGCAACCATGTAAATGTTTTTAGCATGTCTTTATTTCTCATTTTTTTAAATGGTCTTTAACTGTAACCATGATTTCAAAATCCAGTAATGAATAGATTTCTTAAAAAATAAAGTTGCAAAGATTAATTCTTAACAGGATTACCCCCATGTCATTATTGCTAACGTACATCATTCAGAAATATTCAGAAATCTTCAAAAGATGTACCGTAAATTAAAAATTGTACCGGTAGTGAACAGCAGTTTCATACTGCAATTTATTAGCCAACCATAATTAAGTAATTTTTTTTTTTTAAATACAAGTTACCTGATTTTTAAATGCCTTTAGTGCATGTTTCTGAGGCACTGTGTAATAATCCCAGTCAATTTCAGAATGTGCAGACTCAAAAGCACGGGCAGGAATTGAGACAGTTGGGTGATTTCTGTCATCATGACCTGCTTCCAACAGAAGAATTTTCTTGGAAAAATCTTCAGAAAGTCTGTTTGCTAACACACATCCTGCTGAGCCGCCACCAACTAAATAAAAGGAAAAAACTAACTGCTAATTTTTTTTTTTAAAAGCATTATAGGGAGAAATATTCATAAAAATAACAAAACAGAAAAATTAAATTACTAATACATTTAGTAGGATTAGTTTATGAAAATTCTAAACTGAAACATTATATGATTTTTTTAAAACTATTTTAGAATTTAGATATAATATTAAAACTTTGAAATAAAACTTGTCATGGACCAACAACCGCTATAAATCATGGTTGCCTTTACTTTTAAAAATGTTTCTTTTTTTTAAATCAAATTATGAATTAGGTAATTTCAACTAAAAGTGATAGTAAAACAATATTTTTGAATCACCTATTTTGTTTTAAACAGGTAATCACAAAGATAAAGTCTACTTACTGATAATATAATCATATTCTTGATCCGCTTTTGTGGCCAATTCTGGGAGTTCATTTAGCTTTCTTTGTATAAACACTCCTACTATCAAAGCTGTGCTTGACAAAAGCAAAACATAAGACCATGGACCCATGGCCATGATGATCTGAAGACAAGCAGTTAACAAACAGTTCTGAAATATGGCTTTGCCAAAGGGGTATTTTGAAAAAATATTCAAAGCATTTCTTTGCTTTTAAAAAGCAAACAAGGTTGTCTGTTTAAGCCCGAGTCTGTTGGTTGGTTCTCATTAACTGAAGTTCATTTTTTGATGTCTTCTTTATGTAATGTATGACCGCCATTTACAAAACTTTCACAGATCTTAAATTTACCTTACAAACCAGGGCCTATTTAAACCTATGTGGTAAAGCAAAGACAAATAAAGATGGTATTACATACTAATCAGATGTAGATGGGTAGCTTAGTCTAAGTTAGCCAATAAATTGAATGTTGTTGCTTTAATAGGCATGAAGACCAATTTGGATACAGTAATAATGTACAAGCTAAATATTAAAAGGGATTTATAAAGCCGAAGTTTTCAAATAATTTCAGCATATTTAATAGTTTATCCTTATACTTGTCCTTATACTTGTGCAAAATGCTCGTTGGATCTTGTCTGAAGGCATTGAATGAGGAATAAGTATACATTTACTTGAATGATAATGAAACAACCCCTAAAAAAAAGTTTTCTTATAAATCATTTATAAAATGTAATATAATATAGAGCAATGGGTGTATGGACTTAAAATTTGACAAAGCATACTTTTAAGTAACGCACTACATAAAATCCCAATTAGTGCCTCCCCCACACCTCCCCAGGGCTTGCAACCCCACATTTTTTTTTCATGCTCATGAATTATATTAATATTCTAATGACCCACCCGCTTTTACACCACATATTGATTACACCAAATATTTCAGACAAATGAAAGAAAATATTGTGCACCAAACCCACTAACAGTATTTTTTTTTTTTAGAATCTCATTGCTGATCCCACCAAACCCCCTTCTCTGACCTTCAACCTTTGCCGTCATCACAATTTTTTTCACATAAGTCAGGCACCAACATACAAAAAGTTAATAATATATGCACCTCCCCCACCCCTTTCTTTTTCAATCCCTGGGCCAGTAGGATTAGATGTGTGTCTTTCCTGGATTTCACCCATACTGCATTTTGATCTTGTTCTAGGTTATTTTAAAAAACGATCGGTTATTTTTCTTTCAATCAAGACTCTCAATCTCAAGTTGTAATTGTAGTAATTACGCTGGCCTATTCTAACTAAGCCTATTAAATTACTATTTGAAACTTGTTTTTGTTTTTTAATTTAGAATTTTACTATTACTTTTAGGATATTTAGACTTAAGTATTTTAATTTTAGTGGGTCAAAGTCAATGCTTTATAATAATAATTTGGAGTAATTAATTTAGTTATTTTTAAAGTATAATTAAATTTTATACATAAATTATAAATAAATATAAATTAAAGTTTAAGTTGAGATTTAGTGTTGGTTAGAGTCAGATTTTTTAAAATAAAGTACAGTATTTTTTAATTAAAAAGAAAAAGTTAGTGATTGTAAATTGTCATTCATTACACTTTTACTTTTAAAATTATATAAATCATAATAAATTGTATCACTATCACGTCATATGATTCACACCAGTCAGTCATCTGTTTCGGCGTCTGATGATTTTAGGCCAAATTACATTTCTATGTGCTATATTTCTAAGATTTTCTTTTACCATTTTTTAAAGTAAATAAATAATTACTTAATGTTCTATTTTAAGTTGATTATAAAATGTATCCATTCAAAGAAAGAATAAGAAAGAGAAAAATATTAATATCTGACCGATGAACTCTACAGCCTCGCCAAAGCGGCGTACTTAACGATAGCAAATCTTTAATTCCGGGTCAATTTTTTAATGAAAATATTTCGCAGTCTTATATTTATATTAATAAAATCGGGGTGGGAGAGAAAGAGAGAGAGAGCATATCTTGTAAAGTTTAAAACAGAAAGACTCGGCACTTTATGTCTTTTAATATACTACACAAATAACGAATGAACTTAAGACAATATTATCGTAACAATTGATGGATACAATAATGATATTATAAATTATTTTTGTAAGCTGAATAAGCAATACAAAAATTTAAAGAGACGTCTCTCATGAGTATATCTCTCAATGATGTCTCTCATAAGGATGTCTCTCATAATGATGTCTCTCATGATTATTGATCTCATGAGGATATCTCTCAAATTATGTATCTCATAAGGATGTCTCTCATAAGGATGTCTGTCATAAGGATGTCTCTCATAATGATGTCTCTCATGAGGATATCTCTCAATGATGTCTCTCATAAGGATGTCTCTCACAAGGATGTCTCTCATAAGGATGTCTCTCATAATGATGTCTCTCATGAGGATATCTCTCAATGACGTCTCTCATGATAATTGATCTCATGAGGATGTCTCTCATAATGATGTCTCTCATGAGGATATCTCTCAATGATGTCTCTCATAAGCATGTCTCTCATGAGGATGTCTCTCATAATGATGTCTCTCATTACGATATCTCTCAATGATGTCTCTCATAAGGATGTCTCTCATAATGATGTCTCTCATGAGGATATCTCTCAATGATGTCTCTCATGAGGATGTCTCTCATAATGATGCCTCTCATTACGATATCTCTCAATGATGTCTCTCATAAGGATGTCTCTCATAATGATGTCTCTCATGAGGATATCTCTCAAATGATGTCTCTCATAAGGATGTCTCTCGTAATGATGTCTCTCATGATAATTGATCTCATGAGGATGTCTCTCATAATGATGTCTCTCATGAGGATATCTCTCAAATGATGTCTCTCATAAGGATGTCTCTCGTAATGATGTCCCTCATGATAATTGATCTCATGAGGATGTCTCTCATGATAATTGATCTCATCAGGATGTCTCTCATAATGATGTCTCTCATGAGGATATCTCTCAAAAGGGCTTTAAAAAACAATGATACCCTGTTTAGCCACTTTTTTAAAACCAAGAAATGTATCAACCACCTTAACATCTACAAACATCACGAGTGTTTGTTGTGAGAATTTATCTCTTTTGAAGTCTAAAGAGTTTGCTTTATAATTTTGTATTCTTTCCTTCCGGTGGATTGACCTGACCGATTGCAATGTAAAAAAAAAATTTAAAATGCAATTAGTTAATGTCAAACAAACGCTTCAAAAAAAAAAAAAAAAAAAAGGTTTGAACTGTCAATGCAAAAAAACGCAACTAACTTAGGGTTATATTCTGAAAGACCAAACTTAGAATTATATTCTGAAGGATTCTGACGTCAGTGTATCATTGTAAACCCGGTCTTCCGTAAAGAATCGCAACAAAATATTTGCCTGATGGAACAGCAGTGTTGTTTGATGAAACCAAATATTTGTGTTTTAAAATGACAATCTCCAAAGATAACAGAGACACCCCCTGATTAAAGTGGCAGTGGTTGAACCCTAAATGAAAGACGCAGAGCAGAATAAATCATTATACTCGGTAATTCTTTGAGGACACTCACTTCGGTTGTGAGCGGAACGACGCCCTCCGGGAATAAGTCAAGAGTATGGTAAAGCATAACAAGATTATATATATATATATATANATATATATATATATATATATATATATATATATATATTATTTATGTTTTATTATAACATAAGTAGCCAAAGACCCCAACATGGGTATCCAAAGACCCAACTTGGGTTTCCAAAGACCCAACTTGGGTAGCAAAGACCCAACATGGGTATCCAAAGACCCAATATGAGTAGCCAAAGACACAACATGGGTATCCAAAGACCCAACATGAGTACCCAAAGACCAAACATGAGTAGCCAAAGACCCAATATGAGTACCCAAAGACCCAACATGGGTAGCCAAAGACCTAACATGAGAATCCAAAGACCCAACATGGGTAGCCAAAGACCCAACATGGGTAGCCAAAGACCTAACATGAGAATCCAAAGACCTAACATGAGAATCCAAAGACCCAACATGGGTATCCAAAGACACAACATGGGTAGCCAAAGACCTAACATGAGAATCCAAAGACCTAACATGAGAATCCAAAGACCTAACATGAGAATCCAAAGACCTAACATGAGAAGCCAAAGACCCAACATGAGTATGCAAAGTGCATATAAAATAACCCGTTAATAATATTCAATAATTATAGAAATTATCCTCTGGGGTCTGGTTCACATGAATATTGCAGAATTCTGAGCTCTTAATCTATGTGAGATGCGAGGACAACCAGTACAATCTCAATATATTTATGTTCGCAGTTATCCCGTACCTATTTGAAGCACGGAGCCCCTGAGGACGTCGATGCAAGAGTTAACCTCCAATTCTAGATACTTTGGCTATTACCATTATAATACAGCGCACATGGGTCTCTGTGAAACTTAACCACATGGTAGTGCATTTACTATAATGATATGACAGTTAGAATTCTACATGTGTAAACACCAGAACTATTTACCAATGGAAGAACGTTTAAGTACAATCTATTGATGGATACAGGTGAATACACTTAGTTTATTTGAAACAACACGTGTTTTAATTAAGAAACGGCCAGGTAATACGATGGCTAAGAACTCCATGTTGCTTGCTGCTAGTCGCGTCCATCAATTCAAAATGAGTGGGTTACATCAGTCCTGCCTGCTATAGGACACACAGGCGAACTATGACGCCAGCCTCACATTTTGGTCGCGAGACTCACCGTGCTTAATTGACCAAAACAGTTGGGTAGGTCCCCGAACGCAGTGTTGTCCCATGGGACATTCAGTGGGTGCATACGTGTTACAATCTAGCCTGGGCGTTGCCGACAACGACCACACACAGGGCGTGTGTTGCAGTATCTCCCTAATAAGTTGCACCTCGTCGCATTATTAATTAATTATTTTTTTTTAATATTTTCTTTCTTTTTTTCCGTTTTCAGACGGTGTCTTTAGAGTAATACCCTCCTCGAAACCATTTACATAATATGTTTGGCGACATTTAGCTAACAGTTCAACCTATATATCACTTCAAATAGTGTTACCCATTCCAGCACGATGTCTATCTA